TTCTAACTGCCGATCACTAATCAATAAAGTGGACTATCTGCAATTCCTACTAAGTCCAAATATTTATCGTAATTGTGGTGTCATCAAAATCCAAGAATCTTGGTTAAATGATTTACAGGACGACTGCCTAGTATCATTACGTGATTTCAAAATTTATCGTCAGGATTGGTCAAACAATAAAGAGAGGTGTGGCGGCGGGGTAGCTACGTTTATGAACGTTAACTTGTGTCGATCTTCATTTGCTTGTTACAAGATTTCAAATGACTTTATCAACTGTCCAACTTTAAGATATCGTCCAAAACATTTGAATAAATACAAATATGTTTATGTTACCAATATCTGCGCTATCTGTTTTCGCTGATGAGTTTATTGAGTTTGCTGTTACTACCTTCAGTGATTCACTTTCAGTTGTATGTGGTGATTTAAATTCATGTGACTGTAGCTTCCTTACGTCACTAGGTCACCAACATGTAGTAGATTTCCTACTCGTTTGGATGCCTATTTAGACTTCGTTTTCATTAATGATGTGGGTATATATGTGACTGGTATAAGTACTTCATTGGGAATTATTTACAGATGACTCACTGGAAATCACTATTGATGTTATCACTTGTTACCTTAAATTCTGTTTTGACATTTGTTGTCCCACTGAGACCATTTTTGTAAGTTTTAATCGACCTACATCTTCACAACTAAAACGACTACGGAGGATGAAAAAAAGAATGTACAGGGAGAAAAACTCGAATGAAGTTCGTAAGCTAAATGGTCTGATAAACCTAGAGATTAGACGTCTCAACTCTATGTTTACTCAAAAACTCTTGTCTTGCAAAAACTCTCCAAGTATGTGGAAGCTCTTTAAATAACTTAAAGGTGACAGACAGATTAAGAGTAATAACCAGCTTAATGTTTGTGACTTAAATAGGTCTTTTGTACGTCAGTCATCTGATGCAATGCTCCTTTCATTCACAGGTTTAAGGAATACCTATGTTCCTAGTTTCACTAAAACTGATGTCCGAAGATGTCTCTAGTCACTTAATTCATACCGATATTTAGCACCTAGTGGTATCCCAAACCTCCTTTTTGAAAAATGTGCTGACGTCCTACAAATCATATGAAATATGTGTTTGTAATGAAATATTTCGTTCTATTTCTGATATTCTTGACTTTATAATATAATATAATGTAATTCAAGGTGAAACGTTTCGAATCATGATGATTTAGATGGATGTATTGAAAAATAGTCTCGGATGATCGTGTTTGTCTACACAGCTTTGCAGAAAATCGACTCTGACACTTTCTATAACAAACTTGACAGAAGAACGAAAAGATACATTGCAATTTTTTAGAACAAAGTGATTTACTCAAGCTGTATACTATTACGTTAAGTTGTTAAGTTAACCTTAATCAGTTATTACTATCATCCCTTCTCAGGTTTATCATTATGAGCTTTACGATTTTCTCACATATCAAGCGAACAATTATCTTTGATAATTCCGAATCGTAAATTATTTCCATCCTCCTATTCTTCTTTAATCTTCTGATTGTTACGCAATTCCATTTGATATTTGAAATCTCGAATCACTTTATGATGCAATCTTTTCTATCTTTCTATAGACTTATACATTTACCCAACAACTACAAATGTGAATGTACAATTTAAGTCAATGATTTCATCGAAAAGTGAAATTTTTTCTCAGGATTCTCTTTATTTTTTTATTCAATGTCTTAATGGGTTGTATAAATTAATTGAAGTAAAATTCCATACTGTAGCATATAGAAATACACATTAAAATTCCTCTAAATTAAATTAATATTCTTTCACTTACATAAGCCTGAACCATTTTGTAAAATGAATAGTTTTTGTATAAGAGTGAATTAGTAATAAACTTAGATTGTAAATTGAAAATGTTGATATGAATATAGACCAAAAGATTAATTTTCCATAAAACTGTGTTATACAATTAGATTTGACACATTAAGTACTTTTTTTTCAAGTAAATTGAACTTTAAAGAAGAACAAATTACCAAATTTTATTAAACATACACATGTCAGATGAACATCAGTTTCAATCAAAGCTCCTCATGGCAGTAATAAATATTAAAAAAATCCTGTATGTTTGTCTTCCAAAACTAAATACTATAGTTAAGCGATTATGTAATACTTTTAAAGATCAAATCAATGGAAGAAATCACATAATTCACTAACTGAATGTTTTAATCAGTACATGGTAAGAAGAAACTGTTTCTAACGATATAATGTAAAAGCTTAAAATAATTTCCATTCTTTTTATCAAACCGTCGAAGGTAGTAAGATCAAGTACAAAATCTATGTTCAAATGTTTGGTTGATTAGAAAATTGAAACATTCACATAAAATGTATTTCGAGGCATAGAATAACTCAGTTCAAGGGAAATTGTTTCATTGTTGAACAAGTACACTCCTGGTAATTTCATAAAATTGGTGTTAATATTTTTAAAATAAATAGATCGTTATAATTTACATCACCGACTAATCTTAACTAAAAATTCAATTAAAACTGAGAAGAATCATGCAAATGATTTCAATGGATATTTAACTAAAATCAGTCCATGATGTCAACTATGAAATGAAACAAACTTTAATAACTCTCCTACATAGTAACATAGATCATATTTTAAATCAATTAAGTTGTAAATCCCGATTGGTTTACTTTAAAGCAACCCCTACTTACACTATTATCGAGAAAAGGAAATTTAACAATGAATAACATCATATCTGATACAAGATACCTTTATTTCTTTTCTTTTCGTAAGCCAAAAGGAAATTTCCGTAATAAATGTTCCTAAAAATACATCAAATAACAGTCACAAGATTAAGTATTGTACTTGTAGTTGTGTACAAAAACTAGATTATAAATGGATTTACAGGATTGTAATCATTTTGAATCTTTGAACAAGACATGAAACACACGTTATCGCTGTATGACTAGTCAATACAGGAAATCCATTGGATTTAGTAATATTGTAGTGTATGCTTCTTATGTTTGTTGATATAATTAGTATGTAGTAACATTCGGAAGTAAAAACTTCGGCAGCAGAAGACTAAAAAAATCGAGTTGAAGAAAATAGAAGAGAAAATAGAAAGGAATAGTGAAGCTGAAAAATCAGACAGAATGTGAAAGACAAATTATGGGAGATTCGCAAATAAAGTATTCACTGTTAGATTCTTATATTTAACCAAGATACTTTGTAAGTTTGTGTTAAAATACAATTGGTCGTCCCCACTCATGTTCACGTCCGTTGCATTATCACTAAATAAACTTTGTATGACATCCATCGTAGAAGAGTAACTTTGAATGTAAAGAAAAATCAATATGATTTGACATAGAGTAAACTATTCCTTGAAGCATTATGTACTTCTACATAACTTATTAACCAGGTTGAATAAATAAAACATTGGCAAAATGAATATATTAAATAATAAGCATAATTCAGTTAACAATATCTATTCACTTACTGATAGTAATCACATTCCATTTTAACCATGTAGCTTGTCATTTGTGGTATCAAAATGACTGACTATTTCATAACGTCTGACTTAATATAACACAAAAATGACAGGAAATGAATTATAAAATGTCAATGAAACTAATATGGTTAATTTTTTTACTTGCCAAAACTATTCTAAACATAATATTAGTATTTCAGCCAAATGTGCACAACAGTTAAAATAATCATTTCTATACAAGAGTCGAATTGATGTTTGTTAAAATCATAATCAGTTTAAAATACATTGAGATCTATTATTTTTTTCTTTTCAACAAATGTTATATTTAAGATATGTTCAATAGATTATATACATTTCTTTGACAATATCATTTTATTTATATGATTCTATGTTTGTAGAAAGGGAATGTAGATGTCTGTTTAAATCTAACGCGATTGAAAAATACGAATTTAAAAGAAATTCATACCTTGTGTAAGATAAAATAATCAAACAATCCAAGATAAATTTACATATCTGTTTTTGGTTTAAATTACTGACTTTTTTTTAGAAATAAAAAGTCACGTAGAAAATATTTAATTTCATATGTTTATAAGTAGGGATTTGCCAATTTTTGTCTCAATGAATGTTATAGATGAAAAGTAACTTTGAATGATTCCTAGTTCTAATAATAACGTGTTCGACCTTTTTCTGATCACTATTTCTGTATTCAACAGTTTTCTAAAATGTTATAACTTGTGACTTGTATCCTTATTAATGTATAACGTGATGATACCGCCATTTAAAGAGCAGTGAATTATCGATCGGATCAATGAAGCATCAAACCCGTACGAGCAGTCTAGAGTGTTTATCGATCCTGCTTTACACTCAGCTGTGCATGTTAAGTCCAGAACACCAGTCTCAGTCTCTGAGATATGATTCATTTATTTCAAACATACTGGGTTTATATACTAATCAGACAGACCACATCGTATCATGAAATAGAATACAAAATTTGTACAAGAATTAACCAAAAGTGGTTATGAATGTGGGAGGTAGTAATTTATAAACTGGGTATAACTCAAGAATGGCAAATCGTATAGTAATAGTTCATAGGTCAAGATGAAGCTTATGATAAGGAAAACACGAATATCAATAATTTAGTCATTTAAAGCTTTACTTTGCTTACACCTGTTACTCCTCGTTAAGGAGCATAGACCGCTCACCAACATTCTCCATCTAACGCATAGTATTAGTCCACAAATGGGTCCAAAAAGTTACCATTCATTATTCACATCAGGATACAACAGAAAACTTCACATATGACGTCATGGAATTCTAAAACTGATAGTCATGTAACGATAAGACGAGAATGATGGTAGTTTTGTTTTCTATCATAATTTATTTTAAATATAGTCATACTTTAGGAGAAAGAGCGATATTTGAGTTATTCATCTTATTATCTTAAACAATGAATTTCAACATTCTGAATTGATCGTAAGCATTAACCAATAGATTTCTTGGATTTGTTGTTTTAGATCAATAATTTAGTACGTTATTAAGGAAGAGTTGAAAAAACTAATCGTGTTCATTTGGTGTTACTGACTTCTAAAACGTTTTTCATCATAGCATATGTTGTGTCAAACGCCCTCCTTCATTAGAAAATGTCAAGAACAATATAAGGAAACTTTATATATTAGACTAAACAGTGAGTTTGTGGGACCCTTTATTTTGCTGTCATTTAGATCGGACGATGTTTGTTGATGAGCTCTCCACTTTAGAGGCCCGAGTTCTGACTCCACTTAGATCGCATGAATGATTGTTATTGAATTGTATATGTCGCCTATCCTCGTATGTTATTATCGACTTAATTCGCGTTCAGTGAATAACGGAATTAAATAATTCAAATAACGAGAATGGACTTCTGAATACATATATTTTGTACATGAAGTGAGTGGAACAGAGTAAAGTGAATCGACGCGCAGTGGAGATGGCGGGCAAGCCAGCTCCATTTAGTCAGGCGTCGATCAATATTTATAGTCACACAAAAATAAGTTACAGACATGTTACGAATAGAATAAGAAATGTACACACACATATGCGCTCATACAAAAACAATTAAGATTGGCAAGTGAATAATTAACACTGTCGAAATACGATTCAAGTAGAATGAATAGATTGGCCTGTCCAAAAGCCAGAATAAGGTATATGGGCTTAAAATAATAATCCACACTACAAGTTCCTTTACGAATATCATAATAAAACGTAACTAACCGCCTTAGAAACTTCCAGCAATGATATAACAGTATATTTTTGATCTATTTGTTTTGAAATGAATTTTCATGGTCTTAATGGGAAGTAGTGACTAGTAAAGCTCAACCTTGTCGGGAGTGAGATAGTGATCAACAATGTCATAAAATGATCTTCACACCGTATAATTAAATTTATAAATGTGGACCACTGGACGTTAACCCTGTATGTCAAGGTTAAGTCCCCCAATCACGAGAACTGAAGGTACTGAGATCAATCTCTAGTCAAGTCAAGAATAGATATTGCATAAGCAACTCACACTAATACTCTTCTGTGCTAGCTGGTTATCCACAGTAAACTAACTGACGTTAGTCCATTCCTCATACAACCGACTAATCAAATTAATCTCTAAAAACATCTCAGGGATGAAATTTCTATAAGGTTAATTTTAAACTGTAAATCACCAACGTAGATGATCTATGTCAAATGATCGGAAGCCTACTCGAGTTAAACGGGAATGGCGTGACGAACTGGCTAACGTTGAATTCACACCTCGTGGTCAGCATCTTACGTGGACTACCCCATTGACGTACCATAGATGCTTTAAAGACTGTACAACACAGAGGACGTTATTACAAAAATATATTAGTTAAAGTAGATACAAGCGAAAGTAAGACCACTGCCGCATGGGCCAGTCCATGGCGTACGATTAACTGATGAGCGTCGGTTGTTCTTGACCCTGACGAGGATCGATGATTTGTTCGATATTCAGTGATCCAACTGCCGGATGATTTGGCTAGGGCTCAGTGGAATTTCACTAGCCTTACAAAACATCCGAATAATAATTGAAAGTTATATTAATTCTGGATAAACTTTGTACTATGAAAATATGTTTATATTGGGAAATAATCACTGAATGCAAAGATATTAATGCACTGTCGCTACTTGCTAGTGTAACATCAATAATTCTCGTTAGCATTAGCATTATCGTCAGTATGCAAAATACATCTATTCTTTGAAAATATATCAGATATTCAAAACATTTAATCTTTGATAATTTAATAGTTGAGATCACGAGTCAATTGAAGCTAGACCACCATGGGAAACCTGGAAAGCACTGGATGGTCATTTCATCCTATTGTGGGACTACTCAGTAGTGTGCATTCACGATTCCGTCTTATACTAGAACGAAACGGCCGTCCAGTGCTTCCGGGTTTTCCATGGTGGTCTAGCTTTAATTGACTCGTGATTTAAACTGTTAACATAGCTATAATATTCACAAAATCCCTTCTAATACTAATCTCTGATATGTTTAGTTTGTGTCACGAACTAAGAAATATAGCTATTTCAATACCTGTAGAGTTAGATTTGAAAAGATATTTTGATCACAATCATCATGATCAATGTTAATAATAAAGAACGATCAGAATTTTGTCCACCACACTTGTAATTGAAATCAATGTAGCCATGATAGAATTGCTGTATAAACAAAACGTTTTGAAATGAACAGTTCTAGTTTAAATTTTATGCCTGAAGTTTCCTATTATTAGCAATATCACAAAATATTAAAAAAATATAATTCTATGATCAGTTTTAAACGTAAACCTCAAAGCAAGTGACAATTAAAGTGTTTTTGACTTCTATTCGGTTTTTGTAGTTTAACCGTTGACGTACATAATAAATAATATAATACAGATCACTAATATACCTCTTCATACATCGCTATTTCTATATTTACGCCATAAACTATGTAGGAGTCAGATATTCCTGTCCTACCAAAAATAATAAATTCCAAAGGGCTATTATTTAACCTCAGATAGGTCACTTTTGAAAATATGCAAGCAATAAATGATCATTTTGTCCTAGTATGGGGTTCCTCAAAAATGTACATTCACGATCTCGCATTAGAAAATCAAACACAAAACCTTTGATTTTGCGCGCGAATACTTAACTCCTAGACCAGTAAGCTGGACTAATGTCCGACACGCTCTAAAGACCATCATTTACGCTCTCTCATGAAAGCACCTGATGGACCATCTTGAAGCTAGTTACTAGTAAGCACACGATCCTCTTTGTTAATATTGAAACAAAATCCTCCAAAATGGTATCGAATCTTATAAATGAAAGAATAACAGACGAAAATCTATATCTGTTGATAAACTTCAACAATTTAACTGGATGGAATGAAGTACACTTTGTTACATCGTGAAAACTAATGAATAATTCGTAAATAAATATTAACTTATCATTCTTACATCCTTTTTAACTCATATTGTAGACAATAATGACGTATATTTGGTTGTCCAGCCATCTATTATGTCTTTGAAAACCGATTTGATTGACATAACAACAAAAACAAGCATACATTGTATATGTTAACATTTTTAGCAATTCTCACATATTTTGAGAAGTACAATTTTCTGCTACCAAACAAAAAGATTAAATTATTCTCGACCATGGTATACGGTCATAAATGAATATTGATTTTTATCAAAGAACTGAATACACATGCATACATATACTTTATATGATTTCATTTATTCACTTTACAAATCCATATTCAACATTCTAACATAATTTGCTAATTATTTAGTACACACTCATTTTGTGGCTCTATTCAGTAATTTAAGTTGTTACATTGAAGAAACTCATTTTTGGCTGAAGATCAAATGGTTAGGAGAATTTTCTATTTCAATCATTGAAGATTTTACAATTATTTCTTTCATTATTTTATTACGTAATTCATATTCTTTTTAAATTTTAGATGTTTAGGTGTAAGTTAGAATTTTAATCTCCAAGCCGATAAATATTTTCTTCTGACCGGTATGACGGTTCCAATTTGTTCGATGAACAGTACAGGTGATATTTATCTATTGAATCAGGTAGGATAAATTAGATAACATATATAAAATAACATCTATTTCTCATCAGCTTTATTACAATGTGGTAGTAAAAAATACCGTTTAGGGTGAAAAATTCATATTATTTAGAATTTGAAGAATACTACTAGCTATCTGTTTAAGTATTTCTAAGTACCATGATGAATAAAAATGGAAGTGAAATTCAAGAAGGGATCTCACAATAGAAAGTTAAAAGCAGATTTGATCACAAACATATCTTAGCTAAAGAGTATTTGGAAGCAATCGATCATCCAATCGATATTTGGTAGTAGATCCCAAATCATTTCACCGATAGAAAAGTAACTGTTATGTAAGTTAGTGATATCTGGAAAATCATCAAAGTTTACAGTTCGTTCCCAAATCGAACTTATTCTAGACAGAGACACTTGTTATTAATCTCACTAACCTTCAGCAATCAGCACAAATTCTATTTACAATTTAAAGAATATCCCATTCAAAGCTGGTGGTAACAACGATAGTTTATTAGTGAATGGTTACTTTTAATTTAACTATTTGAGGTCTTCTTAATTATATAGTTGTAGTTTATTAGTTAACTAGTTGTCTAATAAAGCCAATTTGAAAACAAAAAATTCACATATTTCTGTGAATTTAAAGAAATTATAATATCAGTTAAATGGTTAAATATGATTTTTCCAAAAACCTACTATTTACGAACTAGTCATCCATTAAACTTGAAATTCCATTACTGTATCAATATGGACAGATTAGCACATGACATCATTGGTGTTTTGTTTTTTAGCACAGTTTTTCTTTGAAGGATAAGTTTGTTAATCCCATTCCCTGACTCTTCTTTATCCAGGCATGGGATCAGCAATAACTCCTAGAAGGACTCTAGAAGAAGTTGTAGTCTCGGCGAGGCCTCATGCTACCCCCAAATGCCCTGGTACGACCGAGAGTGGGGAGAGTCCGCTCCCACTCTCAAAATGCTCTCACATAGCCACGCGTATATAGCCTCTGCCAGAGAAGTCCTACCCACTGCCTTCTCGCGACAGGGGTGTTGGTTACGAAATTTAGAGGACGAAAAGCGAACGTCCAGCGCTTTAACCGGCTTGGTGGACATGGAGAGTCCACCTAGGGGAGGTAGGAAATTCTGATTCCAAACCAATGGTGCACATGGACTCCAGTATCCTGCGGGAACAAATAGCGTATGAACCAACCGTTGATCACCGGCCACCATGAAACTGCATCTCTTTACGTTTCCTTATTGCCTTGTGGATCAGACCTTCAGGCCGAAGGCTCCGGGTGTGACCCCCTAAGAAAACCACCTGCTTCGGTTTGGCCACCCGTGCAGTATCACAGTCCTCACACATATCAAATGAGATTTGTGTGGTGTATATATATTTGATGCCTCCTTGTACCAATATCTATGTGTTAAAATAAATAAATAAAAACGTAATAACTAACTATGATCTATCATGGTAACACCATATTTTATTTAACCTTCTTATTTTTCTATTGAATTTATTTATTTTTGTTTTAATATTATTTATTTTAGAATTTGATTAATGCAGCAAATACTGCTATATATTTAAATACTCAATTAAATTCAATATATTATACAACATTAAACATGACAGAATTAAATAATTTTCAATCAAATCATTTACCATTATTGGAACATTACATTAATATCCATGGTACTACACATATGTCTTATTGTTCACGTGTAACAAGTTTTAAATCGAATTTTTATTTACGTAATATTTTACAAACTTATGTACAACCATTTGTAATATTCTTTACAATTATAACAAATTGTTTAATATCAATTGTATTAAATTATCCAACAATGCGTAATTCAACTAATATTATATTATTAGGTATAGCTATATGTGATTTATTAACTGTATTATTACCATTACCTGTATATTTATGCTTTTTAACAAGTAATATATTTTCAGAAAATTTAACAATATTTAAAGGATATAGTGTAACTTATTTAACTACAATATTACCAACTGTATGTCATACATCATCAATATGGTTAACTGTATTATTAGCATTACAACGATTTATTTATGTACAATTTCCATTAAAAGCAAATCAAATTTGTTTATGTCAATGGAGATCAGTTCAATTATTAATTATTTTAACTGTATTAGCTGGTTTATTATTACAATTACCGCATATGATTGTAATGCATTTTATTAATGCATTAGAATATTGTTTTTTATCATCGACATCCTCATCCTCACCACCACCACCACCACCACCGCCACAACAACAACAACCACCATCATCCTCATCACCACCACCACCACTATCCTCATCACCATCATCATTATCAATATCAAATTATTTATTAGATTCACAATTTATTTCATATTTATTTAATACTACTGATAAAATAAATCATTATCATTATATAAGATTTCAAAAAATTAATTTAATGAAATGTACACCAATGAGTCAAACAATATTTTTTACATTATTATTAATACGTGTATTAATTGTAAATTTAATACCATGTATTATGTTAACTATATTAACTGGTTTATTAATTATGGCATTAAGACGTTTTATACAAAATAGACAAAAATTACTAAAAATCAATAATAATACTACTACTAATAATAATAATAATGATAAAAAATCAATAACATTTTATAAAAATAATATCAATTCATATATAATCAATAAAAAATATAATGAAATCAATCAATTAGAAAAATCTGATCAATCAAATCAAAATGAAATCAATTTATTGAATAATGAATTAAAATCAATAAAAAATAATAAAAATTTAAAAAAAAAATCATTACGTCATAATTTAACTGATACTGATTCTACATCCAAAATGATGCTTGTTATATTGGGTATATTTTTATTTACAGAAATACCAACAACAATATGTTTATGTATTTATGCATTTATAACATTATTAGATATTTATCCACCATCAGCATTTTATCAAGTAAGTGTTTAATATTTATTAATGTATACAGTAGGTTGTACGGTGGGGCAACTTCGTGGATTGGTTGGAGTTAGACATTAACACTGTTAGATGCCGGCCAGCTCAGTGGTCTATTTAGTTAAGCTCTTGGCGCGAGACTGATGGGTCCTTGGTTCGATACTCGCTAGGCGCGATCGTGGATGCGTACTACTGAAGTGTCCCATACTAGGACGAAACGGCCGTCCAGTGTTTCCAGGTTTTCCATAGTGGTCTAGCTTCAACTGATTCATTATTTCAACCAGTGAAATTTCTAAAAATCACCACAAAACCCTTTTTTGTTTGTGATATTATTAGTAATTAAAGAAAGAATGAATCGAATGAAAAGATTTCTATTCAATTAGTTTTACATCATGGCCTTTCACTAATATATATATATATATATATATATATATATATATATATATATATATATATATATATATATATATATATATATATATGATTTACCATAATGAAATAATACTCATCGAATGAGTACGCTATGTGATAATTATATAATGACATATCGATTGTAAATTAACAAAATTTCAGTGCGTGGATAGGACAACACTATAGAGGCTTCTTCGACACTACGAAATGCAGAATTTCTATGATGGATTAAACTACAAAATCACACATGGAGGACAGCTGGCAGACTCCTACGAAGTAAATACCGGTGTCAGACAAGGTTGCTTACTCTCAACATTTCTCTCGCTCCTGGTGATCGACTGGATCATGAAGATGTTAACATCTGAAAGGAAGCACGGGATACAGTGGACATCTATGATGCAGTTGAACGATCTAGACTTCACAGATGATCCGGCCTTCCTATCGCCCACACAACAACAAATATAGGAGAAAACGACCAGTGTAGAAGCAACAACCTCAGCATCAGTAGGTCTCAATATAAACAAAGGGAAAAGTAAGATTCTCCGATACATCAGAACATGTATCAATCAACTCGCACTTGATTGAGAAGATTTGGAATATGTAAAAACCTTGACATATCTGGGGAGCATCATTGATGAACATGGTGGATCTGATGCAGATGTGAAAGCGCGGATCTGAAAAGCATTAGCAGTATATTTACAACTGAAGATCATCTCCAATTCAAAATAACTGTCAACCAATACTAAGGTCAGAATTTTCAATACAGATGTCAACACAGTTCCACTATATGGGGCAGAAACCAGGAGAACAACGAAAGCCATCATCCAGTAGATACAAGTGTATAGTAATAGTTGTCTACGCAAATATTTGGGATCGGTTTTCCAGACGCTATTGACAACAACCTACCATTGGAGAGAACGAACCCGATCCCAGTTGAGGAAGAAATCAAGGAGAAGCGATGGAAGTGGATAGGACACATATTGAGGAAAGTATCCAACTGCGTCAAAAGACATGGAATCCTAAGGGCCAAGAGAGCAGAGGAGCACGAAAGAACACACTACCCCGGGAAATAGAGATAGACAAGAGAATAATGCACAACAATTTGATAGAACTAGAAAGGAAGGCAGAGTGGGACAGAGTGGGTTGGAGAATTCTGATCGGCGGCCTATGCTCTATTGGGATTAACAGGCGTAGGCAGTTAAGTAACTTGGAAGAAAGAAGATTAACAATAATCAAAGTGATCATTCGAAGATCAAGAAGTTTGTACGTTGCACAATATATAAAAAATGAGGAGGAACTGATAGAATATTTTGATGAATGGTCAGTAGCATAGTAGTTATGTAAGAATCAAGAGACGAATGCTGAGAATAAGTAAAATACAAAAATAAAAAAGTAGAAAAAATACGAGAATAGTTTATCAAACTTCTGCTACAAACTCCCGTACACCGATGGGCAAGGTAGCGAGAGTGGTTGTACAAACTTCTTTTGGATTCAAAGGTTAGGTTTGTGAACACGGATTGCAATGGTTTCAGCAATGTGAAAAAACACAGTCGTAAATCATGTGGCAAATTTGTTGGAAGTTAAATGGCTAATTGTGGTCTGTTTTCTAGTTTTGCAAGGAAAATGTCTTCTAGTAGAGGGCTTAATGGTCACCCCATGGATACCCCATGTAATTCTCTATAGTGTTCGTTATCCAATCGGAATTGGACATTCATCGTGCATCTAAGAACTAACTGTTTTATTGCGCATGCGGGAATTAAAGCTTATATGCGCCTCTCTGTTATTTCATTACAAATAAAATCCACTGTTTCAAATAGGGGAATGTTAGTGAATACGTAATTATTTATTAAGTGAATATAAAACCTAGTTTGTTGCTAGATTTCATAGCTATTAAAAGGAGTATTTATTCATAGAAGAATAAATAAGTATTCGTTAATAAATGACATCACCAATCAAATAATAGAAAACAATTCACTATTAAACTTCCTTTTGTTCTTTGGAAATTCTTCTACCTTGTGCATTTACAATTTTATTTAAAATAGAGTTCAGTAAATTCAGATCATTACTTATTAAATTGGGATCTAATGATTGATGTCATTTCTTTATTTGGATTTATGATGAAGTCTGATGGATTGCTACCTCATTATTTTTTTACTGAATTAACTCCCTAACTGGAGGCTTCTTAATGAAACTTCTGATAACCTATCTACAACACAATGATTATATGGACATGTAACTATAAATGATTAAGAAGATTTACTGTTCTTACGAGTTAAAGAGCTAAAAAAACAAAGGGAAAACAGTGTACAGTTCTTGTTGAATTTTCAAAAATTAAGCAACTGTCATCAATTCAAGACGAAAGTTATCCTTGAATTATGAGAAATCTCATAATGAAACAAGCCTTAAAAATTATGTAATTTTAATTACCATTAATAAGTATTATTTGCTCTTATTAAAAAAAGGATTACAGAAATGTACTATTATTCTGGCCTACATAAACACTGATCATTAGTTATATAGTTACAATTACATTGTCTCATAGAATCAAGTCATAAAGGAACTGGCTTGCATAATTAATTCAGAAAATCATTGAGAAAATAGTACGTCCCTGTACAAAACGTACAATGTAAAACATAATTACGCAGTTATATCAAAACATTATAAAAAAAGATCATTATAACAGTAATAAGAATTATAGATATATTTTTATCATCAGAAGGGGTTGTGTGGAGATTTTGGTAATTTCAATAGTTGAAATCATTAGTCAATTGAAGCTAGACCACCATGAAAAACTTGGGAGCGCTGGACGGCCGTTTCGTCCTATTGTGTGACTCCTCAGCACTGCGCAGCTACGATTCCTTCTCATACTAGAACGAAACGGCCTTCCAGTCAAAGTCTAAGAACGTAACCACAGTTGTGTAATAATACGAATAAAGCGAAAGACTCAGTTGATTATCAGATGTGACGATCAGACACTAAAAATTTTTTTAAAGTTTTTGAATCAAGATAAACAGTTAGTAAAACTATTACTTTCTAAAAAGAATACGATTACCTAAAAGTATTCATTTCCTTAAACGTCAATTCTGCTTGCTAAACCATTGTTATCCGCATTGTTCGAATACACATAATGAGAGAACAAAAGTTATGCAAAGTGAATTCGGATTTCTGCCTATTTTGTTGATGTTAGAAATCATCACCATTGGATGCCGGCTCAGTGGTCCAGTTGGTTAAGCGTTCGCGCGCGAGACCGGAGGCCCTGAGTTCGAATCGCGCTCGCGGGATCGTGGATGCGCACTGCTGAGGAGTCCCACAATAGGACGAAACGGCCGTCCAGTACTTCCAGGTTTTCAATTGTGATGGTCTAACATCAATTGGTTCATGTTCTCGAACAAAAAATTACAATTAATTTTAAATACTTCCATGTTTTGATAAATAAAAACCATGTATAAAGAAGGGTGATTTATGTACGTGATTATCTAAAGTTAAGTCTCATTGTGGAGAGCACTTCATACAAATACAGAGTAATTTAAGTTTAAACCAAGCTAATTTACATACTTATTAGGCATTAAGTCAAATGTCTCCATAAATTGTGCTCAAAGCTGTCCGGATGAAGATTTTGAGTAAGTATCACTTTAACACCAATAACTACGAATGATAATAATTTAAAGTGCTAAAGTAAAATTTTATATATGAATTATTATTTTGCATAAGGAATCATTAGTATCTTTAAAAGTATAAATCACTAAGATAAAAATATTTGGTTGATATTCTCTCCTATTTTCAAACATAGAATCACGTATTTATGGGCGGATTTATTACCTTGAAGAAGTCCAGACAAGTTAGCTGAACGAATCGTTAGAATTAATGAAAGTTCAATCGCTGAGATTATTTCAAATATAATTTTCACATAAAAATGTCTTTTCTATACTCGGCACCCAATTTCTGTCAAACTATTCGTTCTAATTTTGACGAATATTCGTATTCGAGGTCATAATTAATATGGTTGTGGATAGACATTTAAAATCATGCAAACTCCTGGCAGGTGTTATTTTATCAGATACTAGCCACCCCCTTCACTCTTATCTTTCTCCTTGTATATCTTCTGGTAGAACGAAACGTAATTACATTAAAATCCATGCACGCAAGCAAAAGTATAAAAGTTCTATAATACCTTACCTAGCAAATATACTCTGTGACGAACAGGTTGTTAGAGTTAACCTAGTCAATAACCTGCATTCTTAACATGTCTCTAATTTGAAAAGTTGTACAGTTTTTCGGTTGTTTTTTTTTAAAAAAAACCTTTTATTTTTTATTTTTATTTTTGTATTTGTTACTGTTTTTGAGTAAGTAACTTGTTGAAGTACCCTGTGCTTAGAATTCTATATTGTACCAAAATATAATATTGAATAAAGCCATTAATAATAATAATAATAATAATAAGTATAAAAAGCTTGATAATTTTTTACTTACGCTAATGTTATTATAAAAGTCAGTTCTTTATAAATATAGATGAAGTAAACGTTGTGAATATTTGCAGCACTCCGTTACGTAACAGTTTGATATACATATATATTAATTTATTAGATTACTTG